TCACTATATATGATCTCTTTAGTGGAACAGTTTCAAAATGTAAAGTCTGTCCCGTTGTAGCAATCACATTTCCAGTTTCCACACTCCTTTCTCCATGCTAACAAAAGAACATTGTCCCAGATGTTCTCATGTGTGGGATTCATCAGAAATGTTGTATGTGTCAACTAACCTTTAATGTGCCCATGGCCTTTCTGCTCCTTGTCCCCTACTGATGTCATGTTCTAATATAAAATAGCAAACTTGAGGTTTATCCTGATTCATTAAAAAAAATCTCTTTTTCTTGTATTCCACTCAACAAAACCTTTTTTCTTTTCTTTTCAGGGAGTCACTCAATTCTTGACTCATCATTTTCTTCCGTCCTAACAAGAACTGGGTTGTTCTTCGAGTTCTTTAAGAGTAAAATAAGATTTTTTTTTCTGTTTCCAGCCTCTATGGAATTCTGTCATCCACTCCATCTTGTAAACTAGAGATAACAGCCCTTTTGGGGTGACGTTATCAAAGTGGAGTTTATATAAATTGCCATAAATCACAAGCTAAAAATACTGGATATTTGGGCCAGTGTCAAAGAGACTAAACAAAGTCAAGGAGAGGAGAGAAACAATTCCAGGAAAGTTAAAAGTGACTGACCAAAACCACTCTTTTTTTTAGCACAGGGCCCTTCCAGACAGGCCCTTTATCCCAGGATCTGATCCCAGGTTTTCTGCTTTAAACTGGATTATATGAGTCCACACTGCCAGATAATCTGGGATAAACAGAACACCTGAGATTGGATCCTGTGATATAGGGCTGTTTGGAAGGGCCCACAGTTCCCAGAAGGAGATTGCTTATAAACCTCAAATCATTCACACAAAATATCTACATTACAATACCAGAAAGGGAGCTTAGTCCAGTCTGCTTTTTGTAGCATGTATTGCTAGAAGTACCAACCCTTCATGTTAACCTTGCCTTCAAGGATTTCAGGGAGTTGAAGTCAGAATTGTATTTCATCATTCTGTTAAATTATCATGGCAAGTAATCCTGACAGGAGTTGATATGCTTTGAATAATTTGTCAATTTTTTCATCCAAAACCGTCCAAGCTTGCAGTGATTTCCAGGACCCATCTTGTAAACAGGTTTCGCTTTTTCAGATCTTTTCAGACAGGTAGCAAGACTGTATTTTGTTAAAAGCCATTGGTAGAAATTGGAATAGACAGAATTGTATTTTTAGAGGCCATGCTGTCACAAGCAAGATAGTAAACTTGTATCTGGACTGTGCTTTTTCAGTGCAATCACATGCACAATCATAAAATGTTAGTGGTTAGTCTAGAATCCTTTTGATTTGGTAGACTAGGTGTTTTCTCAATTTTTGCTGACTGGATGGAAGAGGCCCCAAACATGATTCCGTACCTGCTGCATGAAATGGTACAGCTCACCATTCAGCACTAATTCACTAGGAAAGGGGGACAGTCGTAGTTCATAGGTGCCAGTCTCACACACTTTTAGTTGTTTGATGTGCCAGTTCTTTTACATATCATTTTGAGTGATGGTGAGGATATATACATGCACACTGATTCTCAGTATGAGAGGTTGGAAAAAGAGTAATAAGTTCATTTTCTACACCATCTACTTTGAGAGATGCCCAGTATAAGGTGTTGTAAATGGTGCTTGATTCACCAAAGAACAAATCAGATATATGGAGTGAATCATGCTAGAAAGATAGATGAAGTGGCATTCAACCATCTCTTGTGGACCTCCCATCAAATTAAATAGGCTAGGGCCAGATGGCTATAATAGTCCATCAAATAGTGAATGACGGTTATGTTATGCTGCCTTATCATTGTTAAATTGTTTAGGAAATGGTTGCCATAAAAAGCTGGAAATCGACTTTTCTACCAGCTACAGCATAATAACTGCTGAAAGTGCTTGAAATGACATGAATGGATCTGCAGGAAAAGAAGAGATATTTCTAATCCAAGTTTTGTTCAGAAATTACCACCATTTTCCTTTTAAATAGAATCTTACTGTTCACAGTATAGGACAGGATTCTTCCAGCCTGATAGTGGCCATACAGACTGAAGATGATAGAAGTTGTAATCAAAAGCATTAGGCCCTAGTCTTTTTGTTCTTGTGAAAATGTATTTTGAATAATACTATTTTAAATAGAGTCACATTAAAGGACCTAGAGATACTTAAAGAGAACATTTTAATCAATCTGTGAACAAACAAATTTGCAAAAATCAAATCCATACTTGTGGAGGTCAGAATATACTTTATTTTCTCCTCCTTATGATTACATGAGAACTCCATATTCTCATCCAGAAATGCTTTTCTGCATTAGGGCAGCAGTTTAATTAGCAGAACTATGAGACATTTAGGGCTTGAACTTGCCGATTCTCTAATCCAGGATAGTATAAAGGTAAAGGTTTCCTCTGACATTAAGTCTAGTCATGTCCGACTCTGGGGGTAGTTCGCATCTCCATTTCTAAGATGAAGAGCCAGCGTTGTCCGTAGACATCTCCAAGATCATAACAACATGGAGCACTGTTACCTTCCTGTCGGAGCGGTATCTATTGATCTACTCACATTTGAATGTTTTCGAACTGCTAGGTTGGCAGAAGCTAGGGCTAACAGCAAGAGCTCATCCCACTCCCAGGATTCGAAACGCTAACCTTTCACTCAGCAAGTTCAGCAGCTCAGTGATTTAACCCACTGCACCACCAGGATAGTATAAGATTCTAAAATAAAAACTTTTCCAAGCTCTAATTGAAAGATATTGTGAAAGTTACTTAAGTGCATAGCATGCAGATGGGCAGAAGTACAATACTGGATGATCGCAGATAGTTGAATTGCTTCAAATTAGTTTTTCATACCCTTTAGGAAGTGGCATCCCCATTTTTTCCCAGTGATACAATGCAAATTCCCCATGTTTGCAAAAGACTGTGCTCTGTTTATTGCATGTTGCTTAGGAATCTTCCGTAGAAATATGAAACACATGCACAACACAAGGGCCACAAGGAGAGGCAGGTAATTAATGATGATGGTTATGTACAGACTGTGGTGTTACCTTGAAAAATACTCAGAAATAGAGTTCTCTCTTCTCTTGGTTGCTGGATAAACATAAAGTGTAAAAAGCATAAAAACAGAGCTATCAAGGAACAAAATATAGTACCATAGACATCACAGAAGGGATTGTACCTCCCTGTATCTTTTCAACCAACACTAATAGGAATCTAGACCCTAATTACAACCATTTAATTAAAATACATACAGTAAATCCTAAATACCCACATCTCAACGACCCAGAATCAAGCTCAAACCCTAAACGACAAAACAACTACTAACTTAGATAAAAATCCTACACCCTCAATAATAATTAGAGAAATAAGAACATGAGTCAACCATAGCCCACATAACAATTCAAACTCACCTATCGATATTAATACCACTAACTATGTCTATTCAGTAACTAAAAGCAAACTCCATATAAAACACCCCCGCCCTACTCTGTTAACATGATACACTTAACATTCTAAATCAATAACATTCAACCGCACTCAACTATCGCCCACCGCCACCTATTAACATACCAGATATTCACACTACCGCTCTACACATTCAAAGGACACCTCGATCATTTACTGCACAATACCAGTAAACCTGCGAATCTCGTCATTCAAATCCAACTCGACACAAAACGCGACCCACAAAAAAACTCCATCATGATCACAACAAGCTGCATCACCAAAGCCACTCAGAGACGTAATAACTATACAGATGTGATAACGAGCAAATCAATTTACTGTATAACCCCGAAAAACCATATAAAAAATAACCCATACATGGTGAAAAACCAGAGAAAGCTAAGCATTATGTGTCGAGGGAAATGTTTGACAGCAAGGGTGTGTTTTCAGATGAGTGACCCCCATGTCTT